TCTTTGTTGCTGGACATGGCCTTCTCCCACCGTTCGTTAGCGACAGTGCAGGCTGCCTGGGCCTCTTCTAGCTTCTTCTGCTCGTTCCCCAATTGGAACTCGAGCGACACCACCTTGCGGCGTTCCGCCTCCAGCTCCAACTTGGTCGCGAGCAGTTCAGCATTGGCTCGATCGGCTGAGCACCCCTGCACCATCGCCAACACTTGCATCTTCTTGGCCTTCTGGGCCTCTTCCAACCCCCTAGCGCACACACTTCGCGCGGTCTTCCTCTATCCAGCAGTTTCTCTCCTCAAACTTTCAAGTTGGGCCTTCGTCTCCTCCAACTTTGCCTTCAGTGGCCCCATTTCGCCTTTGGCAGCCGCCGCCTTTCTCAATAGGGTTCCTGTTAAGGCAGTGGCCTCCATTTGGGCGGAACACAGACCCCTTAGCAGCTCAGCCTCAGTAAAACTGGCCACCAAGCTTACGGCCGCTTCTTCCACTACCCCTAAAAGGCGATCTGCAGCTATCTTGGCTGGGCCTCCTTCTCCTTCTAGTTGCCCAGACGCTGCTGGTGCATGGTAGATGGCAGTTTTCAGCCTGACCTCCTCTCCTTGGGGCGCAGGAACCCCCTTGGGCTGCTGCTCCACCCCCTCCTCAGAGCCAGTTAACCCACTCTCTACTTGCATTTGGGGCCCATGGCACTCATGGGTTCTTCTCCTCCTTGGGCTCCTTAACCAGTCGCCCCACTCTCTATCTCCCTTGCTTCCCCCAACCCCACTTCGGGGGTCTTCTTCGCCGTCACCTCATTCCTCCTTTTCACGGCGGGCTCCCCCACGCTCTCCCTCACCCTCTTTTTCTTCTTCAAAGTCTCCATCTCTTTTTTGTTCATCTCCTTTAGAGGATCCACTGGGGGCAGTCGTGGCTCAAAGCCCCCCAGATCCTTCTCCCCCAGTGGCTTCGGGTGCGGTCAGATTCTCTCATTGGCGATCGGTTTCGGAGCAGGCCCAAGTTGTACCTCCTTAACTTGTCCGCTCGGGCGAACAATCTCTTATCCTCCTCCTCCTCTACCTTCCTCTACACCTCTAGCTCCTCCCTTGCTGGGTCCTCCCCCAACGGTTGCGGTCCCAATTTCAGGGCGAACAATGTCGAAGGCAGGACCAGCTCATTCCACCTCAGCCCTTTCTCTTCCCTCCATTCCCTCGCCTTCTTCACTCGGTCTTCAGCCTCCCCGCCCAACTTAGGTTCGACTGATTTGGTGGGGACCTTCCACGTGGTGCGCGCCCCAGCCCCACCATTTTTCGTCACAAAGAACCATCTCGGTCTCCACCCTTTCACCAACAATGGAAGACCTGCCACCAGACCTCTCTCCACCACCACTTGCAACGTCACCCAGGTCTCTTGTTGACCGGAGGCCTTGTCGCAGGAGAAGAACTCCTCTATTGTCAGCGCCGTCTCTCCGGTCGCCTGCGGCCAAGCACTCGCGCACGCCATTACTATCTTCCAGGCATTCGGCATTAGTTGTCCTGACGCCACCTCTAGCTTGCTTAGCACATCTACCACAACCTGAGGGAGGAGTAGCCTCAACCCTCCTCGCAATGCTTCTTCGTAGAGGCTAAATTCGCCCGGCTGCACATCTGATGCCCTTTCCGTGGTTGTGGGCAATCTTAGCCCTATCTCCGAGGATATTTGGTATTTCTTCCTTATTCCCTCAAACTCCTCTGCTGTCAGTACGGATCTATCCGGTTTGGTGTGCCAATGGTCTGGCTCCACCTGACTGATAGGCCTCCCGGCCGAGATTATTATCCTGGGGCGAGCACGCATCGCTTAACTCGCTCCCTCCCCCCTACACTTCGTATGGTATTGTTCTGCCAAACCCACCGCATCGTCGTCGCCTAGTGGATCAACCCTTGCGTTTGTTGCTTCCTCTTGGGCCATCTCTCTTGTGTGTCTGCAAATAGTTTCGGATGCGGCGCAAGAAAATTCACAAAGTGCTGCAGGGGTGTATCGTTAGCAACTAAGGAGTTTACACTTTGAATGTTTTGATTTTTTGCAAAAAGGTAGGTAAAGCGAATAATACCAAAGGCCCACGGCTTGCCTGTATTCCAAGGGTCACAATTAATTTTTGCCAGTTTGAAAATTTTCAAAAATCTGCCAAAATTGTTTTTTCAACACCCTATAATGACCTATCGTTTCACTTCTTGCCCAACGCCTAACCTTCCCTACTACGAGATTCGGTCACGTGTACGACCACGATCCACTGCCCCTTTCCCCTTCCCTATCTATTCCACTTCACTTCAAACACGTATCACGCCGCCTCTCGAGCCCCGCGACACATCACCCACCTTTTGCGGTCGGCTCTCCTCGTGATCGTTCCCTCCACTCGGCCACCCTTCGCGGTCGGCCCTCTTCATGATCGGCCACCCTTTGCAGTCGGCCCTCCTCATGATCGGTCCCTCCACTCGGCCACCCTTTGCGGTCGGCCCTCCTCATGATCGGTCCCTCCACTCGGCCACCCTTCGCGGTTGGCCCTCCTCATGATCGATCCTTCTACTCGGCCACCCTTCGCGGTCGGCCCTCCTTGTGGTTGGTCACTCCTCTCGGTCAACCTTCACCCTGCCGGTCTCTCACAACCCTCATTTTCTTAATTATTCCCTTCGTTGGACTAAAGCTGCATTTGGGAATGAGGGACTACTGACACGGGTAAGCCTATAAAGATTATAGCCCACCATTTATGGCCCAATACACAACTCAAATACTAAGGCCCAGCACTGCCGAAGCCCCACGTAGCAATAAGAACCAATGACATCAAGACACATGTCAAGAGAAGGGCAAGCCACATAAGTAGACAAAGATCTGCAAAGTTATTGCCACGGCACATCGCCATTAATGAAGCCCCTTACAGCATTTATTGCGATAACCCCTCTCCGTCGGGACAGAACGCCTTCACCATGAACAAGGTAAGCTAGAGCATAGACTTTCGGCCAAGGTGATAGGTCGAAAGGGACAACGAAATGATTACCAGAGGATATAAGCAGACGTCGAAGACAGAAAAAAGGTTAAACTTTTCTATCTCTAATCTATCTACACGTTCCACTTCTCTCTCTAACTTACTCGTTAGAGGGTTCGCTGGGGGACTCCCCGTTCCTCGTTGAACTCTTGTGTAGATCCTCTGGTGGGCTTGGTCATTTGGACATAGGCTTGAGGAGCGTGGATCAGTCCGACCCGTTCCATCTGGAACCCGTTGTTCCATCAAATTATTTTCTCATGTTTGATTTATAGTTAGATAAAAAAATGATAAGAAATTATAAGAAAGATAAGTTGCTTATATTATAGATTTTGTTTTTCATAAAAAATGACAACATTTTGTGAGCAACAAACTGATGGATTGTAATTTGGGTGAATTACATTAATAGTCCCTATTGTTTGAGATTTGTGTCACTTTGGTCCATAACTTTTTAATTGTGTCACATTTGATCCTGAATTTTGAATCTTGTTTCAGATAAGGACAATTGAAGACATCATTAAATTTTTTAATGGTAAAATCGTCAATTTGATAAAATATAAACTAATTTGACAAAAATAAATGTCAAACAAATATTTTTGAATTTAAAAAAAAAATTTCAATCCACTAAAGATAAAATTATGTAAAATTAATAAATCTTTTAAATATTTTTTTTTACCAAATTAATTTTTATTATGTGCTTGGATAATGATCATGTACAATTAATTTTTGAAAATTAATCATGTAATTTCTATTAATTTTTATCAATTTTACATAATTTTAGCATTGGTGGATAAAAATAATTTTTAAAAAATTAAAAATATTGTTTTGACATTTATTTTTATCAAATTAGTTTATATTTTATTCAATTGACGATTTTGCCCTTAAAATTAAACAATTGTATCTTCAGTTATCCTTATTTGGAACAATATTCAAAATTCATGGTCAAGTATGTCACAATTAAAAAGTCAGAGATCAAAGTGACACGAGTTCCAAACTATAGGGACTGTTAGTGTAAATTGCCCTTCTAATTTTTTTTATAATATCGATATTGTTGACTCAAATACAAATAAAGGAAAAAAAAAAAAAAACTATGGACATCCCTATATCATTTTTTTTGCTTTTTACTACTCCGAAGATTATAGTGAAAAAATGGGGTAATTATTTATTTTATCATTGATAAACGACAATCATTTGTTTTATTCTCTTACATTAATCCAAACAGAATCTAAATTGGATTTCAAATTATTATAATTTAAAAAGAAAATTGGAATGGAATGAAGAATCATTTTTTGTTTGGTCGTACTTCTTTTAGTGCTATGTTTTCATTTTTCCAAAAAAACACACAATCTATTTGATGGAATAATTTATATTTTTAGTTTTTTTTTAATTAAAAACTAACTTTTTAGGAAGACACAAAAATCCTTTTTTTAATCTTTCAAAGTTATATTAAAAAAATAGAAACAAACACATGATCACAATAGCTATTTTCAATTATTTATTAATTTTATTTTAAAAAATAAAAGCACAACTAAACAAATAAAAACTTAGAAAAGATGTTCATCAAATCCAAGATCATTATTGCATGAACAACAGAAAAAACAGCACTGGCAATTGCCAAATAGGATTTAGCCTCCGTTTGGGAAGTGCGTTGATTTTTTGGCTTTTTTGACTATTTTAGCCTGGGCTTAAAAGCTTGATTTGGGAAGGGCTTTTTGACTTTTTGACTTTTTTGAGTTTTTTTGTGAGAGAAGAATGTAATGATTATGGGTTGGATGTGATGTTTTGTTTGTTATGACTAAAATAGCCTATTTTGTTTTTTGTGGCTAAAATAGCCAAAAAAGCCTGCAAACCCACTTGCCAAACACAGGCTTAGACTACAATAAAATTATTTTAATCCACATGGTGCCAAAATGCCCTATGTTCAATGGTTAAAATCATCCACTCCAATTTGGTCATTGCTTCAAAATAACCCTACCATTAGCATGAACATACATTTCAGCCAAGCTACCATTAGCTATTGGATTCTCAAAACAAACCATAAAACTTCATAAACAAAAAGAAGATTGTGAAATAGTTTTACAATGAAACTGGTACATAAATCAAGCTGCCCCATTCAGCCATTGATCTCTTCTTAACAGAAGTACACAACCTTGAACCTACCATCATTCCTTATATGACAAAAAAATGAAGAAAAAAATCCATCCACTGTAAAAGTATAAGAATGTTATAATGACAACAAAATTACCGGTGATCAGACTACCCAGTGACTATTGCATCTATTAATATCGTTATATTAATCAAGGTCATCAACAAGAATAATATTTGTTTTCTATTCAAGCATTGTCTAATGAAGTCCCGGCCTCCTCAATCTTTACGTGGAAGTCGATCCAGATCAAGAAACTTAGCAACACGCTCTTGCTTTGCTCCCGTCCTGTGGTCATAGTACTCAATGACTGCAGCTCCAGCTAATGCAGCAAGGGTCAGTGCTTGTGCATGCAACCTGTTTTTTTAACCAAACAAAAATATCTGTTACATCCATGATAGAATTGCTTAAGTAAACTCGTAGGAAACAAACAAAAATCCAAATAGAAACTACAACAATAGCTTCATGCTGATTGCAAAAGATGATTGTTTCATATTTTTTTTAAAGGGTATTCCTACGTGGTATCTTCCTCAATTTTGATTGGTTACCATGGAGGCCCGTGTTATGACGGTGTTTTGCCTGACAACGCCACCAATGTTGTCGGGCAAAACAACATAAATATGATGGTGCCAAATGCCATACCTACCATCATGTTAGGCAAAACACCAGACAATGCCTACCAGAAAAACCAATCAAAAGAAGAGGGTTCGATGTAGAAATACCCTCTCGGGTACACCCAACAATTACTCCTTTCATTGTAAGTCCTCCAATAGCTAAAAAAGCCACCTTTAACGCAAGCTAACTGAAAACTCAAGGATGCCACCAAATCCCAGATTTCCATCATGAAAAGGAAGTTGTAACCTTTAACTAACTAGATATATATCCAAACAGCCCATCTCAAAATTGCTTATGGAACACATCACAATTGAAAGAATGGACACAATTGAAAGAATGGACCCAAAAAAAAAAAACTACTTTTATGTTTTTTTTTTTGGGGGGGGGGGGACTTAGACGGACTTTCTTTTTCAAATCTCATTAATTCTTTAAAAAATTTGGAGCCTTGTAGCATATAAGCCCTTGATAGAGTGGAATAGCGAAAATTGATTCATGTAGCTAACACAACTTGATTGAGACAAAAAGCTTAATTTGATTTGATTTGGTTTAGAGGCTTTTAGTGTCTCTTGGCTGCAGCTGCCCAAGAAAAGGGGCTAAAGAAGAGCTAAAATCGCCAACACCGATGTATGAATAGATCAGCTCCCTTCAAAATTTGATAAATACAACTTAAAGCCTAGAGAGCTTGGCCCTAAAAAGTAACATATCAATTTAAGGTTATTTAATAACGTAATTAATAAAAACACCCAAAGGGTAGCTCTTCCAAATCCAATTAGTTGAAGCAACAATGACCACAAGGGCAATTCTTAAGCCTACAATGAATCCCTTTCAATAAAACCTATAATGAATATCAATTTCGACCCATCAACAACCAAAACGCCATATCAGGATGGGAAAAAACACATGCGACTGCACTACCTAATTTTCATCAAATTATAACACAAAATTCTATTATACAAGAACAAGGACAGAGGGTACAAAGATTCAGTCTCGAAAATCATGATTCAATGGCTATTACTCAAATTTTTAATCGTGTTTCAAAGATGAAACCACCTGGTTTGATGCAGGTTATAGTTATTCTTTAACAAAAAAAAATAATTAAAAAATAATTAATGAGACAGTGCTATCTTCTTAATTTGACTGACGAAATGGCATTGGATAGAGTCGATTGAAGACCCATTTGATGGGACTTAAGACTTGTTTAGTTTGGTTTGGTTTGGTTTGGTAATGAGACAGTGCTATATAATGATATAGAAGATGCAACAACCCAAATATGAAATTCATCAAACAACAATAAAATAATAACGAAATGAGATCATAGATGCTGCACTCTGTATCTCAAAAACAAGAGCATGCACTTCAAAACAATTATAACAAAAACTAAAATTGATCAATTGAGTTCTGCTTCTGATGAAAAATCTTAATCATTTATTTTCCTTGGCCCCTCAATTTTTTCGGGAACCAAACAGATTTTCGATATGTGGATAGATCAGATGCATGTCGTACCTAGCGTGAATGAGCCTAACGCTGGTCTTCATGTTGGGTTGGGACCAATTGTATGCGATCGAACCCGTTATTCCACTCAACCACAGACATCCTTCAAAATTTTCAAAACCATCAAAATCAAACCCAAAAAACACACACCCACACACACATTATATATATTCATATACATATATATATATTGTACATGAAGAGAGAGAGAGAGAGAGAGAGAGATTACCGACGGCGCGAAGCTTGTGGTCGACGATCCATTCCCTGATGGAATCAAGGGTGTTCTTCGCATCAGCCATCTTAAATCCCTTTTCTCTGTGAATGTGATTTTGATTTTGATTCTTTTATCCCTTTTCTCTGTGAATGTGATTTTGATTTTGATTTTGATTTGGGTTTGAGTTTGGGTTTTGCGATGGTATTTGTAGGTGGAAGTGAGAGAGAGTCGATGAATTGGCCTTTGAGAGATTGGACGGTCCACATCGTTGCCTGACTGGCTATAGCCGACTTGCACGTGTTTGATTACTAGTACTACTCTTTCGTCAAGTCATTGGTTAGTTTTTGTGCTCTACAATTTGTGGCCTTTCGTTATGATTTTGGGGCTCTAAGTTTCGGAAGAAAAAAGTCAGGTTTTTTTTGTTAAAATAGTCACAAAAAATAAAATAGGCTATTTTAATCACAAAAAATAAAATATCAAATCCAACTCATAATTATTATAATTCTCTCTCACAAAAAAAGTCAAAAAGCCAAAAAATCCTTCCCAAACCGAGCTAAAATAGCCCAGGCTAAAATAGCCAAAAAACCAACCCACTTCCCAAACGGAGGCTGAATCTAAAATGTATGACGAAACCCAATGGGTTGGGGCATTTGTTGTAAGGCCTTGGGGTTTAAGCCCCAAGGTCACAGGTTTAATTTTTTTCTTAGGCCAATCTCTTGGGTAAAACACTGTTGATTAGGAGGTTGTACCTTAAGCATGCCTAATCAGCTACTTGGTGTAGGTTTAATGCTTAATGCAGGTTGGACCTTAAGCATGCCTAATCAGCTACTTGGTGTGGGTTTAATGCTTAATGCTCCCCCGCTGTGCGAGTCCTGACTTAATCGAAGCTTGCCTTGGGAGGTCGGGACAAGCTTCCAGGTTATAGACTTTTACTCGGAACGGATAACAGGACACCCTGGTGATCTCCTCATGGGGCGCTGCCTTGGACCTGCGGAAGGGTGAGAGGATTTCCCTGTAACCACAACCTACAATGCAATTAGTTGTAAATTTAATTTTTTTATTATATTTTAATATAAAAATTTATTAATAAATATAATATATATTAAATCTTAATTTTTTTCCTTATAATACACTCTAATTAGTTATTTTTATTTTTATTTCTGTATCTTCTTCTTAAAGAGATTAAAGTTATTTATTCTTCTCTATCAAAACTTACCATCATTATCAACATCGTTATTTTTTATTATTTTGAAACTCTAAGCCTTAGGGAAAAAAAAAAAGGTTTAAACAAAATCAAATAATGAATAAGAGTAATAATCAAAATAATTTATTGAAACAACCCATCAAAAAGGAGGTAAGTATTGATATAAAGGGATTTCACAATTTTTGTAGAGCACCATCAATTATTTTCTATATCGTTTTTTGACAAAAATTAAACTGCTAAGTAATTGTATTAACAATAACATATTCTTCTCTATCAAAACTTACCATCATTATCAACATCGTTATTTTTTATTATTTTGAAACTCTAAGCCTTAGGAAAAAAAAAAAAAGTTTAAACAAAATCAAATAATGAATAAGAGTAATAATCAAAATAATTTATTGAAACAACCCATCAAAAAGGAGATAAGTATTGATATAAAGGGATTTCACAATTTTTGTAGAGCACCGTCAATTATTTTCTATATCGTTTTTTGACAAAAATTAAACTGCTGAGTAATTGTATTAACAATAACATATTATTGGAGTTGTTCTTATTTTGTAATTTAAATAGTACATTATTTGAGAAGTACTCTTTCTTGTTAGTGGTTGATGCTTATGTGCTTGTAAGTTTGGTTTTTACTTTTCCACAAGTATTTTTGTGAATAATTTATAATGTAAATTTTTTTTTTCTGTATTGAAAAGTTTTATAATACTTATGTAAAAGTTTTATTTTTCCTATATTTATAATGTTTATATATTTACAAATTTGGTTTTTTTTTGTATTGAAAAGTTTTTGAAATAATTTAATTTTTTTTAGCTTGTTTATTATTTATTATTCAGGTTGAGTAATTTGAAAAAAATAATAAGTTATAATGAGAATAAAGTAAAATTTTAAATAATTAAATAAGATATACTTAAAAATTAAGAGTATTTATTGATTTTTTTAAGTGTAAATAGAATCTCCTTCCAAGTTGAGCCAAATACAATGAACATTACAAACTTCGGCTCTCTTTCGTTAGAACTGTAACATAGGATGGTGATTGCTAAGCCCCATTGTTGGCCCGTAGGCCCGAAAGTTTGACTCAAGCCCATCAATTGAATTTTTGTTTTACTTCAAGTTTCAACAGGCCAAGCAGGTATGCATAAGATTAGGCCTTGTGGTTTGAGGCTTGACTTGGGTTGCAAGTCAAAAAATCTGTCAAAAAAACACAAATAAATAAATAAATAAATAAAACAAAATGTAAATGTTGGCCTGTTAGATTAAGCCCACAAGCCCCTCCCCGTCGCCCTGTGAGATGCGACCTATGAACCCATTCTTGTTGGACAATGGCAGTGCTTTGCAACCCGTGGGTCAAGCTATTTTAGCATTTTTTACGAAAAAAGTCATGTAGTCTGACTGTAGCTGAGGTACAAAGGCTCCTGTCCAGTTGAATGTCACTGTGTTGTTAAAAGACATTTTTACCCTTTGTGTAGCTCATATATGCGAAACTCAAATTTTTAATTTAATTCAATACCGTGATTAGATCAATTACTCATGAATATAATATATGTATATATATATAAATAATAATACACCCTAAATATGAAAATAATACCATAACCGATAAAATAAAATAATTAATGTTACGGTTATAGGTGATAAAATGTAATGTAATTAGATTATTAAAACCTTAGGTCTAATACGAATTAAATCAAAGGTTAAAAATAAAAAAATAAAAAATAAAAATAAAAATGGTGGTTTATCGCCATCTTAATATATATGATGGTGACTAAGTAATTCACTAACTTAGACCATGTAATAGTCACATGAAGGAAGGGAGAAATGCCACCTGTTAGGCAGGTGGCCAAATTTAAAGCAACCCACTTAGTTTGAAACCATGCAATCAAGTCTATAAATAGGGAGCAACTATAGAGGAAAGATACAAATCTAAGAAGTAGCTTGAGAATAACGAGACAATCATAGGAAAGTAAAGGCTACAGATTGATATTAAGATGAATTATATTCTACTTTGAGTTATCATATTTTATGAATATTTTGAATTGCCACAAATTATTTTATATAATTTATGTTTTATGGTTATATTAATATTTCAATTACGCGGATTATTTTCTGAACTATATTTGTTTAAATTGAAACCCATGGATATGTTTGTTTGAATTTTAATAATTAGTTGACAATGATTTCATAAACAATTATGTTTTGTAAGTATCACCACGGGAGTCTTATGCCTTGAAGGACTTAAATAATCATTGGCTCCTGTTTGGCCACTTTGTGGTCCTTTGTTTGTCATGGATCCATTGACCCCTGTTCTAATTATCACTTCAGTGAACCCTGTTCTGTTCTATATCGTGGTTATAGTTATTTACGTAATTTCTGTATTTTAGTTTCTGCCACTTAATTATTTGTTTATTCAACTTAAATTATGTTAATGTTTTAGCTTAAATAACTATTCATGGCTATTTTGTACCCCTATACTCACAGTATAATATTTCTCACTCTGTTATGTGCTTATATTTGTTACCCCTTTCAGGTGACGAGATTTAGCATGATCAAGATGGGGGATAAATCACAGTATTTTCTTATTTGTACTATTTGTATTTCTGATTGGACTCTTGTAATAAAATAAAAATCCGAATGACTATTTTTGTCTCTTTTTAATAAACTGTTGGTATCCATTTATTTTATTTTAATTTACTCAATTTATCCATTGTGCTACTTATATAGAAATTTTGGAATTATTTTATTTTTTTATCTTGTTGCGACACCGAACTTTTAGGTACCGGATTTGGGTCGCAACATTATAAAAAAAACAGAGTGATAACTAAGGAAGAGGTTTTCATCTCTCTCATCTCTATCATCTGTCATTTTAATCTGAACGAAGGGTTTGAAGAACACCATTGTACTCTCTTCGGCAGATCTCACTCTGACGGAATCGTCGTCGAAGCGGAGTCGCTTCTTGAGGATAAACGGCGTCGAAGTGATCAACGGTTGAGATGGCTTTTGATAAAGCAAGGTGGAGATTGAGGAATTTGAGGAGTTTTTGACGGAGACTGAGATGATGGAGAAGCTCGCCAGAGTTGTGTCGGTGATGACAATGATAAATTGCTTGGCTTGGCAGAGGAGCCACTTGATGATCTGGTCGTCGAACTTGTGGCCCAGCTAGCGAGTGAGCTAGAAGACCTTGGCGGCGCAAATGATCAGCATGCGAATGTGCTGCCCTCGGCTGTTGACTTTGCTGTGTTAGTCTTTCGCGGGCTGCTTTTTCACAGATAGAGCACCGTTTGGAGTTGACATGAGTCTTTTTCAATCAGTTTTTAGAGAGATGGAGTTGTAAAAAGAGATAAGCAAAGAGATCAAACTGCCACGTCATAGGCTGCTTTTTTATTTTATTATTTTTTGTATAGACAGTTTGGTCATTTTACATTACACCATCATTTCAAACACATTTTTCAATACAACAACTCAAATAAAAATTTATCCCATATTTTCAAATACAAAAACTAAAATAACCTATTAAAATAGTCAAATAATCAAAAAGCCTAAAAAATAACTATTTCTCAAACACCCACAATATTTGGGCTTAAAGTTTTTGCTTGAAAAAAAAATAAAAAATAAAAATCTCTGGCCTTAGCCTATGAGTGAGCTTGGACTCCATGTTTGTAGCCCGGTTTGATACCTCCACCGAGTGCTTACTACTAGAGACGAATTTAATTTCATAAACAACTTTAATTTGCCTTTTTTTAACTTGGCACGTTTATTAAATAAACAAAAATAAATTACATGTTTCACTCTTATAGTTTAATCAAAATTTGACTTTCATCTTTATTGTTTTAATTTTAAAATTTAGTCTCTATGTGTTGAGTCTATTTTTAATTTGGTCTTTCAAATTTTCATGAATTCTCTTATTTACACACCTTAAGATAATGAAGTATCAAATCTTGTACGGAATTATTATTTTGAAAATATACTTGAAGTGTAAGAACTAAATTACTATTAAGGCATTGTGTTTGACTCATGGGTGATCTTGTAACCACATCT